CCCTGCCCAGGGCAGGGGGTTGGAACTGGATGATCTTTAAGGTCCCTTCCAACCCAAATCATTCTATAATTCTTGGTCCTAGGAGACCTTGCTTGCCTGTAGTCAGCCACATTCTGTCCCAGTGGAGGGTGGAGAAGAGAGGACCTTTGTCTATTTACACTGCAGTGTTCGTCTTGCTGATTGCTTTTTAAGTTAGAGTTTTGATGAGTCTGGCAGCTCTCAGCTCCAAGGTGATGGCTGTATGTGGCTACGTAAGGCAGCAGACACAGAATTACTGACACAGATACCACAGGTTGCACCTGGAGAGCTCTGGGTGTGATTTGCAGAAGCTCCAGGTGCCATCTCCATGTCACCTTGCACCAAAATAAGTGTGGACAACTACAGTGCTGCCTCCCATAGAATCTTAGAATGATTTGGGCTAATGTTGAGGGGTTGAGACCGAGATCTTGCATTTAACAATTACTGACACAGATACCACAGGTTGCACCTGGAGAGCTCTGGGTGTGATTTGCAGAAGCTCCAGGTGCCATCTCCATGTCACCTTGCACCAAAATAAGTGTGGACAACTACAGTGCTGCCTCCCATAGAATCATAGAATGGTTTGGGTTGGAAGGGACCTTAAAGATCATCCAGTGCCACCCCCTGTCCTGGGCAGGGACTCCTCCCACCAGACCAGGTTGCTCCAAGCCCCCTCCAGTGTGGCTTTGAACCCCTTTAGGGATGGGGCATCTACAACTTCTCTGGGCAACCTGTTCCAGTGTCTAATCACCCTCACAGCAAAGAATTTATTCCTAATATCTCATTTAAATCTCCCCTCTTTCCATTTCACATTCTGTCCCAGTGGAGGGTGGAGAAGAGAGGACCTTTGTCTATTTACACTGCAGTGTTCGTCTTGCTGATTGCTTTTTAAGTTAGAGTTTTGATGAGTCTGGCAGCTCTCAGCTCCAAGGTGATGGCTGTATGTGGCTACGTAAGGCAGCAGACACAGAATTACTGACACAGATACCACAGGTTGCACCTGGAGAGCTCTGGGTGTGATTTGCAGAAGCTCCAGGTGCCATCTCCATGTCACCTTGCACCAAAATAAGTGTGGACAACTACAGTGCTGCCTCCCATAGAATCTTAGAATGATTTGGGCTAATGTTGAGGGGTTGAGACCGAGATCTTGCATTTATTAAACTCCCTTGGGGATCAGAGTGCAGAATAAGGATACTCCATGGCAGGGGAGATGATGGCATTTTAGAAGCAACCTGTTCCAGTGTCTAATCACCCTCACAGCAAAGAATTTATTCCTAATATCTCATTTAAATCTCCCCTCTTTCCATTTAAACTGTTCCCTCTCATCCTATCACTCCACTCCTTGATCAAGAGTCCTTCCCCATCTCTCCTGTATGGACCCCCAATCTGTGTATCAGCTCTGTTGAGCCAAGTCAGGGTGTGGATTGGTCCAGCTGATGTAGCCAGACTGTTTTGGGGGTGTGCATTCAGCTCACAGCCCAGATGGACACAGGATGGTGCCCAGGGCAGGGGGGGAGGCAGAAGAATTTGGGGGAGCCCACAGCAACACTTGACAAAGGTGCTGTGGAGCTGCAGTCTTCCTGGTGAAAAAGAGGAAATGCTTGAACTGAAGCATTTTGCTGTGAGATTCAGGAGGGGTTAATGTTGAGACTGAGATCTTGCATTTCTTAAACTCCCTTGGGGATCAGAGTGCAGAATAAGGATACTCCATGGCAGGGGAGATTATGGCATTTTAGAATAAGGTATTTCCCTCTGAAAAACTCCCTGCTTCTGTTAACAGCGCTGGTTAAATTGCTTTTGTTAGCTGCAGAGATAAGATAGGAAACATCTCCTGTGAATCACGGGTTGAAGAGGAAACTCACTGTGATAGAAGTGTATGTAACAGGCTAGAAAATCTTGATAAGTTTTTGGTTTTCTTTTTTTTTTCTTTTAAAGCTCTGGCAGCTCTCAGCTCCAAGGTGATGGCTGTATGTGGCTACGTAAGGCAGCAGACACAGAATTACTGACACAGATACCACAGGTTGCACCTGGAGAGCTCTGGGTGTGATTTGCAGAAGCTCCAGGTGCCATCTCCATGTCACCTTGCACCAAAATAAGTGTGGACAACTACAGTGCTGCCTCCCATAGAATCTTAGAATGATTTGGGCTAATGTTGAGGGGTTGAGACCGAGATCTTGCATTTATTAAACTCCCTTGGGGATCAGAGTGCAGAATAAGGATACTCCATGGCAGGGGAGATGATGGCATTTTAGAATAAGGTATTTCCCTCTGAAAAACTCCCTGCTTCTGTTAACAGCGCTGGTTAAATTGCTTTTGTTAGCTGCAGAGATAAGATAGGAAACATCTCCTGTGAATCACGGGTTGAAGAGGAAACTCACTGTGATAGAAGTGTATGTAACAGGCTAGAAAATCTTGATAAGTTGTTGGTTTTCTTTTTTTTTTCTTTTAAAGGCTTTTTTTTTCTTCCACCAATTGCGTACCCG